CCGAAAGACACCTCGGCACAAGAAGGTTTAGGACTTAGGGTATTGGGTGTTTAGGGCTTATGCGGTTTGGGGTTACGGTTACTTCCTAAACCCAAAACTTCATCAACATTACATATATATCTCCTTTTACATATATATATATATATATAGTATCCTCATCCAGGGAATCCCTAAACCCTAAACTCCCCTAAAAACTCTAAACCCTGATCTCCCCTAAACTTCCGCCAGGGCCCTTTCATTGGGTGCCGGTTTCGGGTCCGCGTTCCGAGCTTCTAGGCCGAAACCCCCAAAAATCGAGGGCTCTGGGGCTGCAGAAGATAGGCCCAAACTTCAGGGACTCTTACAGTAAACCACCAAACACTACAACCCTAAGTAGGGTTCATAGGGGTCCTTTAAAGGGATCTATAGGGATTCTATAAGGGTATAGGGTTCAGGGTTCAGGATCCGTCTGTAGAGTCTACAGTAAACCTCATAAAGTTGGAAACCAGGTTAAGGCCAAATAGTGCTGGGATTCCCTATACATTGCTCTTAAGGATTGAGGCTATTGAGTTTCCAACTTCTAGGCTTCTACTGTAGGAGTTAGGATTAGGGGGACCCCTGGGGATATATACCCTCTCAATAAGGTCCCGCTTAAGAAAGAAGGGTGCCCTTTAAGGGGCCTCCCTAGTACAACCTAGGGATTGCAAAACATCCCCAAACGGTCAGTGCCAACCCCGGTAAAGCTTAGGCTTGATTCAAGCACTAAGCCTTTGAAACGCTAAACTCCAAACCTAGTGTACACTCTTGACTAACCCTCCCCTGCCTTTCGGCACCGTAATCCATCATGATAGGGCTGATGGGGTCTGCACTGCAAATTCTGAAAGAGGGGCTATGAATCAGAAGACAATTTAAGCAGGTGCGCCACTTCCTACACTTTCCGCCCCGAAGTCCAAAGCTACGCTAGAGTAGAAGCCTGGGCGAAGAGTACTACGGTTGATGATACAAATCCTGCATTACCTTAAGGATCCTAAACTATGGGAATTATGCTATATTTCTTATTATGGGTAATGCAGGGTTTGTATCATCACCCGTAGCAGGGTTTTTTTGTGACTCTTTTCGTAAGAGATGATATGTATGGGCTACAACGGGATTCTCTTGTTAGGCCTTAACCTCCACGAAACTCCCAATTAGTGGCATTCTGCTGAGCAACAACATATCAAACTACAAACCCTTGAATCCCGAAGGAAACCCTGAGCCTCCTAACGGCGGCCGGACACATCACACTACTCACACGAAAACTTTACATACCCAAGGCCCCCTGCCCTTGGTCCTCAAACCTCACACCCTCAACGCCAGCAGCTCTGAACCCGCAAACCCTCGACCCCGCGGCCCAAACCTTATAAGAACTAAACCCTAAACCCCTAACCCTAAACCCCTAAAACCCTAAACCCGTAACCCTAAACCCCTAACCCTAACCCTAAACCCCTAACCCTAACCCTAAACCCCTAAACCCTAAACCCGCCGGATCCCCGAAAGTTGTGACTGCTTAAAAGGAGGGCGGCCGGATAAATCACGTGCTCCTCCTCGCCGCCTTCGGTGCCCATGACCTGGTTCTACAGGGGCTCCAGGGTACGGGATTTTAGGGTTTTAGGGTTTTTAAGTTTTAAGGTTTTAGGGTTAAGGATTTTAGGGTTTTAAGTTTTGAGGTTTTAGAATTTAGGATTTTAGTGTTTTGAGTTTTAATTTAATGTTTTAAGGTTTTAGGGATTGGGATTTTAGGGTTTTAAGTTTTAAGGTTTTAGGGTTTAGGGTTTAGTGTCTGGGGCTTGGGAACTGGCAACAGCTCAGGCCTTGACGTTCAGGATCCTTTTAGTCGTTTCAGGGGACGACTTGAAGACTCAAAAAGGGAGTTTCCGAAAATTAGGGGACCCTAGTAGGGTTCCTTTAAAGGGTACCATAAGGGCTCCTTTAAGGGATCTATAAGGGTTCTAAAGAAGGTTTAGGGTTTAATGTGGGACTTTCCGAAAATGGGGGACCCTAGTATAGTACCCTAAATAGTAGGATCCCTATTATAAGGACCCCAAGTGAGGTCCCCCTAATTTTCGGAAACTCCCATATGTGTAGAACTTCACATAGGGAGTATCGGGCTCGCAAGAAGGCGATTGAAAGGCTTGATCCTTAGGACGTTCAAAGGGAGTTTACGTCCAAGGGCATCAGCCAGAGCCGAACGAGAATGATTAAGTCTGAACTGCTCAGCTCTGGGCGCTTAGTGTTTAAGTTCCAGGGCGAAGTTGTGAGGGAGGGAAAGAGATAGAGACAGAGAGAGCGAGAGAGAGAGAGAGAGAGAGAGGGAGAGAGACAGAGAGCAGAGCATCAAGAAAGATGTCACACTAAGACATCCAATGCTTGACGTCCGCAGAACCAAAACCCTCGGGTCTCAAATTTCGGAATCCTCACGGACGAAGCCTATGCAACAAAGCCGGCACCCAAGGCAGACCCGGACAGTTCAAGCAACATGGCCTGTGTATATATATATGTATATATATATATATATATATATATTTATGTATATATATATATATATATATCATTATTATTATTACTATTACTATTGTTACTACTATTCTTATACTTATACACAAACATACATACAGATACGAGCCTCCTCGTCGTATCCCATTTGTTACCTCCCTTTCGCCTGTCAACATCCGAAAGGTTCGGCGCCTGGACCTGAGGAAGGTAGCCGTCATGGTTCCTCGGCTTTCAGAAGCCCATAGGGTGAGTTTAGGGTTTATAGGCTTTAGGGGTTTAGGGTTTAGGGGTTTAGGATTTAGGGTTTAGGGGTTTAGGGTTTAGGGCTTTAGGGGTTTAGGGTTTAGGGTTTTAGGGGTTTAGGGTTTAGGGGTTTAGGGGTTTTGGGTTTAGGGGTTGAGGGTTTAAGGGTTCTCAGGGTTCAAACTCAGGTTTAGGAATACTATGACCCAGTGCGCAAGGCCGTGAGAACCCACGGCCCGACTCCAATCCATTTCAGCCGTGGTTTGCTGTGAAATGTAGTCACTGTAGTCGTTTTATGTAGAACTGCGGAAGGAAGCAGAAAGCCAGAAAGCAAGAAAGCCCCCCTTGAGGCGGACCCTAAAACCTAACTGTGAAAATTGGGGTGGGACTACAGTGACTACATTCTGACGCAAGCTCGCGAGAAATGGGTGCGCCCCAAACTACTCTTAACGTAAAAGGCGCACTCACCCCGCGCGCCCCGTGCACACATCCCTAAATCCGTAAACCCGAAACCCTGGCTGGACCCCAAAAGTATGTAGAATAGGCAGAATAGGGTTTAGGGTTTAGGGTTTAGGGTTCTTTGATCTTCGGATTCCAGGTTACGTTCCGACCCCTTAGCTCGGATCTGCGAAGGCGAGGGTTTGGGACTGTTTTGCTTGGGCGACGGGGTTAGTTTAGGTTAGGGTAGGGGTTAGGGGTTTAGGGGTTTAGGGTTTAAGGTTTAGGGGTTTATCGGTTTAGGGTTTAAGGGTTTAGGTTTCGGGCTCAAGGTTTAGGGTGTAGGGGTTTAGGGGTTTAGTGTTTCGCGGTTTAGGTTGGGGTGTAGCTTTACGGCTTCAGGTTTAGGGTTTAGGGGTTAAGGGCTTCGGGTTTACGCGCTTTGGGCTTTCAGGGTTCTAGGGGTTTCAGAGTTTAGAGCCTGTGGGATTATGGGTTTTGCGCGTGAACAAGTCGCGTCCAAGTCGCAACATGAACTGCCGGATGGGGCGTTCCTCAGCTCTTGGCCGTGGGAAGGTTCAGGACTGCACGCTTTCGGGCGTAGGGTTTAGATGAGATCTACCCACAAGAGAAGCCCGAATTGACCAAGTACAGAAAAAACCCTAGGAATTCCTAAATTGAAGCGCAAAAGCTGTAATATAGGGGCCTTAGTCTAAGGTTTCCGGCCCCATGATACTCTAATTACAATAAGGAACCCACAAAATAGTATAGGTATTAATTATGTCGGCCCCTAAAGTACATGGTACCTACTTCTAGCTGCTCGTATCCTCCGGCGACGGAGTGAGGTTGGATTGGGATCTTGGCATCCTAGCTATAGTCTCCATTGTAGTTGCTTCTTGGAGTTACCTTGTAGGATCCTAGTTGTATATTTGGCTAAACCAAAAAAGGAACTACAATGATAATGGAGACCATAGGTAGACTGCCCTAGACCCTTGCAAGTGTGAATAAGGCTGCGGAGGTCGTGCTTCGTCATGACTTAGAACCGCAACTAGCGTCTACTATCCATCAGATACCTACTACCCGCCAGACACCTACTACGTATCAAGAACCATCCGGGCAGTGCTGCGTGGTCCTGGCTTTGTTGAAGCCATCTAAAGACCCGGCCCTTCATGAAGGGACTGCCTGGGTTGTGGGTTCTGTCGAAACTCTATCGTAATCTGCCAAGAGCTAATGTAAGAACCTGATTAAGAAACCTTGGGCCCTATCAGGGTTCCTTACATGAACCCCGCTATTTTGTGATTATAGGCCCAGGGTTTGTTAATCAGGATCCTGCATGAGAATTTCCAATATAAAAACCTACATACTTTCAACTGTACAATAATGGGCGTTTGTACATGAATCCTACGATCCCAGCATCTACACGCTCAACCCTAAAAACCCAAACCATATAAGCTACAGAGTCCTCCAATCGAAATCCTGAAAACACTGAACCCCCAAGTGCGAGCGTCGTAGACCGCCTCGAAGTCCGGATGCTTGTGATCGAAAACCTTGCAATCTGTAGCTGTTGGTGCACGGATTGGCATTCAACTATAGTGTGTTAGGACTGCAAATTCCTTGAAGCAGATGCTCGAACTACGGATGAGGGCATCATCGTGCCATACCTTAACGACCCTAGACTATGGGAAATATGGTATATCCTTGTTATGGGCAATGCAGGATTTATATCATCAACCGCCTGGCTTGCTAAACTGTTTCGGAAGCCGAGCCGTGATGAGGGCCCATGCGAACTTCGAACGCACCCATGTCCTTCAAAAGACGACCTCGATCATTCCATTTTGGAGTGCGAGGGAAATCACCCGTTCACATTCTGAAGGGTCTCCATCCAAACCCTTCTGCAAAAAGTGAGGAATGGATTGGTCTTTTGCAATATCAACCGGGCTGAAGCCTCGGGGGTCGCGGAGGTCTGACCTTGCACCGTTTGCAATTAGGGCCGCCGCGGTCTCGTAGTTAGCCATCCGCACGGCATGCATCAATGGCGTGCTGCCGTGTAAATGATAAGAAAGGGTCGACAAAGCTGTGACTTTCCCGAAACGGTGCGCCAAAGCTGCGGCTCGAAAAACAAACCTACCCAAACGGTTAAATTCACGCGTCATGTCGTATTGGCAGTTCACATCGGCTTGATTGGAAATCAAGTGCTGGACCAGCTCCACTGAGCCACCTCGCACTGCAGCAAAGCCAAGTGCTCTGTTGAGCTCTGCGGTGCTCGCATGCGGTGCCAGCTCCTCCACACAGAGCAGCGAATGCATAGCAGCCGCCGCATCCAGGCAGGTGAATCCAAGCATGGCCTCGGCTTCCCGACGAGCGCCTGCGGCGCGAAGGGCTCGGAGGCATTCGACGCTGTCCGCCGTCGCCGCGTAGTGCTGGGCTGGAGCTAGTGTTATGCCGCCTTCCAGTTCAGCGCCAGCGGAGATCAGAGCGAGAGTTGCATCGCGGTGCGCATGAATCACTGCCAGATCTAGCGCAGACATCCATGGGGGAATGCCCAAGTTAGGCTCAGGTTTGGAAGTCCTTTGGCTGACGGATGCCCGCAGCCGCAAGAGCCCTCGGATAACCTCAGCCTTGCCGGACAATGCTGCATAGTGCACTGGCCACCAGCCTGCTGTGTCAGGTTTTTGAACCTTCCTCAGGCCGTTTTGGAAAAGGAATTGTGACACTGCATCGACATCATCATCGATGGGGAGGATGCCGTCAATGGGCGCGACCTCCAAGCCCCGAAAGTGCACACTCTGCAAGTTGAGCTGGCGCCGGAAGCCGGGGAAGTCCGATGTCTTCAAGCAGTGCATCATTTTCCGCATTACAATATTCCGCATCACTGGTGCCAATTTCTGTCGATCTTCTTCGTTCGAAAAGTTGCCTTCTCCGACTGGACCTGTTGGAAAAGATGTCGCTCCACCCACTACTTCAAGGCAGCTGCTACTCTGAATCAGAATCCACGTGCTGTCTGGAGACAGCTCGCGTGCTGCTCTTTCCACCCGGCACCAGCCTCTCCTTAGCTGCTTAGCTGGCTTTAGCGAACTCCGGAATGTGCAAAATTAAACCCTGCCTGAAGTCTCCATTGTAGTTACTTTTCTGGTTCAACCAAGTATCGGATCAGGATCCTATAAGGTAACCCCAAAAAGGAACTACAACGGAGAGTATAGGTAAACCCTAAAAAAGGTCCACAGAAGACAACATACTAAGGAAACTTCTTGGCTTAGGATGTTGAGGGGGAAACCTCGTGAAACGCGTAGACCCCCCCAATCATGCAAAGATGGTTTTCAAAATGGAAAAGCTGAATTTCTGGGTATGCCAGGATCCCCAAGGGCCCTTTAATAGAGTCCTTATGGCCCGTTATAGTGGTTTGGCTGGTTAGAGGGTAGATGGGGGGTCTAGTCTAGGTGGAGTGTAGTGTTTACCTTAACCTACCAAAACCTACTTTGTTGTAGGCTTTCATGTTAAACTCTACTATAGCTTGTAGAGGGCCCTACAAAACAAGTACGTTTTTGGAGGGTTACCCAGAGGGTCCAAGTACCCAAATAGTAGGGTTTTAGATCCCCAAATCCATACCCTGAATGGTTTTTGGACCTTGAAACCCTACTATTTGGGTACTTGGACCCTTAGGGCCTTAGGGTTAAGGCAGGGCCAAGCTGGAATGCCAACCCAGCCTCTGGGTCCAGGTCATGGCGCCGATGACTTTGGAGTCCGACTTGAGAGTTGGGCAAAGCGCCAGAAAAAGCTTGCACCTGCTGGGTTCTTTAGGGCCCCAAGAAAGCACATAAGCAAAAAATGGGATGGGGATATCCCATATAAACCACCCCCTTAAAATGAAGCCCAATGAAGTCGGGATATCCCTATAACATGCTTATGCTTATGTGCTTTTCGGGTCCCTCATTCTTGTTACCACAACAGGCATCTACAAGGGTTCCTTTAAGGAAGCTATAAGGGTCCTGTCAAGGGCTCTGTAAGGGTTTAGGGCTTAAGGAACTTAGTTTAAGTTACCATAATAGGGATCTTTCGCAAATAAAATCTTTATTGTGGTACCGTAAATTAGATCCCTTAACATGAACCCGGCCTGGCCACATATGCCGGGATGCTGTTGATAGCTCGCGCTTGCTGGCTGCCGTCCTTGTCGTCGGCACCACAGGTGTACCGCTTCTCCAGCTGCGGGACAGAAAAGTAGTCGTACCACACAACTAGCGACGAGGTCTGAAATATGCTCTTCGGAATCCGTTTTGCACCGGGCACAAAAGCTTCCGTAACGAGGTCCACTGGCACATAGCCGCCAGTGCCTAAAAGATGCACGAAGGCACCCTGCAAAACTTTCAGCTGTTCGCACTCGGGGTCCGGGTGATGCTGGGTCATCCACTGGTGCGAAACAAAGCCCGCCGTTTGATCCGCGCTGTCTTCGAACTCAACCAGCTCCCCGCGCGCCTGCCCAGCCCAAACTGCCTAGTTAACTTACAGTACAATTTCCACCAGAGCTGCTCAAAGCCCGGGAAAAAACGGTGGACGTGAAGGTTTACCCTAAGCCTCTAAGTAGGGATTCTTTGCAGACGCGAGGGCCCACCGTCAGGGTAACTTGCCTACTCTGTTCTCTCGTTTAAAAACAAAGCAGAAAATCCCGGCAATCAGTATACAGGAAGCCGAAAAGCTCAAGTGCCTCTAATTAGACTCAGTACTTGAAGCATCTTCAAGCCCGAGGTTTATAGGGGCCACAGTTCAGGGCCAAGTACTTAATTAAGCTTCCGGTGAAGTTTGAGAAGCTGTGCGGATGCTCTGGGTCTTTAAAATCGAGCGTGCCTGCCTTCAGCTCTTCATGCGGTTGAACAGCTGTCATCCGCAGTAATGTTTCAACGGCAACTGTGTACATGGGGAAGAGCATCTCGGCCTGAGCTGCACTTCACGTGAAGCTTTAGCACAGAAAAACCAACTGCACGCTTATCCTGCAAGAGCTTGCATGGAGCACAGCCTGTCCTTAAGGCTCATGACCCTAAACCCTGCTAATCTGAGCTGGGTTCAGGTTTTGGGCGGAGGAGAGGTCGGCAGGCACATTGCGCACTGCTGGGACGAGAATCATAAGGAACCCCCCCCAAAACGGTACAGGTAATTATTCAGGCACCTACGGTAGATTGAGGTGGGTGAACAGCATCAGAAAAGAACTGCAAGCAGTTAAAACCCTGTCTGGGGTTTAGGGTTTAGGGTTATTGCTGAGCCACGCCATTGTCCTCCGACAGGGATTTCGCATGAAGCTCCAGTGCCGTCGGGACCCTCCCCAACTCGCAGCAGGACATGGGCTCGACTCAGCACCGCGCACACTTTCCTGGAGCCACACACTGTTTAGGATGTAGGCTTTACCGCCAGACGTGCATGATCAACATAGGTCCTATGGACCCTTAGGGTTATGCCACAAACTCTGCAGGGACCCGCCAGGTGGGGAGCCTCGGATCCTGTACCTCTTTTTCATTGGGAGTCGGGAATAGCACGAACAAGAAAGACCTGATCTTCGGGGCTACTTGGAGGTTCAGGAATCCTCAAATTAAAAGAACCCTAAAAGGAGAAGCCTTAAAGGACTTTACTTGCAAGCCAAGCTCGGAGCAACCATGACTGGAAAAAACATAGGTTTAGGATTCTTGAGTTTAGGAGTTTACGGTTCAGGGACAAAGAACATGTTATTGGTCAGCAGGCATTGGCGATGCTATACTGTTGTCAAGACGACCATATATGACCATTACGAAAACTGACAACAGTCCTACTATCGGTCAATGAAAGGGGCTCTGACGTCGAACCACAAACAAGTTCCTTTCATTACACGGGCCCCCAAGACGGAATCGCAAGTTAAAGAAAGCCATCGGAACCAACACAAACCCTAGCCTATAAATCGCCTAATCATCACCCTAAACCCTAGACCCCTGAACCCCAAACCCCTCAACCTCTAAACCCTAAACTACCCCTAAACCCTAAGCCCTGAACCCCTCAATGCCGAACAAGACCCTAAGCCCTGAACCCCTAAACCCCTAAACCCTAAACCGCTAAACCCATATGGGAGTTTCCGAGAATAGGGGACTCTAATAAAGCACCCTAAATAGTAGGATCCTTATTATAAGAACCCCAAAATACGGTACCCCTAATTTTCGGAAGCTCCCATATTACCTCAGCCCACCGTGGCTGAGTTCCGGGCTCTTCTCGGCCTGAAATGTGCTAGGTCCACGGATGGATTAGGTCATAGGGTTTAAGGCACTCACACGGTAATGAGACCAGATGCAGGGAAAAAACCACTTGTGGGAGAAAAGCCCTGCATCCCGGAAACAAAGCGGCAGAGTACTGGAGGCTTGAAGGATATACTTAGAGGACCATGGGACCTAGTGAGCGTGGCTTTAAGTACCTTGATTGCGGTTATGAGCAGTCATAAGTATCGTTACCTCACATATAATCTTAGTTCCTAAGCCTCATGATCCTCTAAGTAGGGATCAAGGCTTCAGTTAAGGGTTTGAGGCTGAAGAGGCTCAGGGCTTAGGGAATGGGTGTAGCATCTATACCCCCCTAGAACCCTAATAAAAGCAGTGCGTTTAGTAGTCTCTTGGGTTCTATATGAACAAGGATACAAAATCCTAAGGAGACTACAGGCAAGGGGCTTATTGGCTTAGACGCTTTTCAGCTTGGGGTGCAAAGGTCGAGAGATCGAATACTAGCACTTCAGGATGCGAGGTCGGGGTTTAAGAGTTTCTACCCCGACCCCCGCAAGAATCCAAAAAGTAGATCCCTTAATGGGGGTTCCTATAAACTACCCTTTGTAGTATAGGGCCCCAAACCAGGGGATCTACTTTCTAGATCCTCCCGGGGGTCTGGGTATGCTAGCAAACATTCCAGCGGTGTAGGGTTAAGGGTTGAGGGGTTCCCATGCCACAGCCCCCGAAACCCTAAACTTCTTCCTAACTCGTCTCCTCGATTCCTTGAGAGTTTTGGGGTTCAGCCCGGAGGGTCTGTTATGGGTCGCTTTAAGGGTACCTTTACGTATAGGTTTAAGGGGGTTCCTTTCAAGGATCTTTAAGGGTGCTGTTCTGGGGGATACTTCCATAATTGTAATTCCTAATATAGGGACCCTGCAGTGACATTCTACTACAGAGGTACTGTTGGACCCTTTGGGCCAGCCAAGCGTTCAGGCCGTGGTTTGGGAGCTTCATAAAAATGGGAACCGTAGCATAGACGCTAGGCAGTAGGACCAGGATCCTTATGAAGAAGCCATAAAACACTATCCTAATAAAAGCCCACGACTACTAGTAGCAAAAGGAAAACTAGTACAAGTGTAGTTCTAGTGGCAGTCCCTGGACCCTAAACCCCTCAACTCTAAACCCCAAACCCGAAAACCTAAAGCCCTAAACCTCAAGCCCGAAACCCTATAAACTCGAAACCCTAAGCCCCAAACTCGAAACCCTAAACCGTCCCCGAGCCCCAGACCTGAATTCAAACTCCTCCAGGGATCCGGCAGTTGCACAAAGCCGGTCACGGTGCAGCCTCTGTGTCTCCCGAGGGAATCGGGTTGGTGTGCAGGGTTTAGGGTTGAGGGTTGGGGTTTGGTTGTGACTTTGTTTCTTAAGACATTCACAGGGTGTTCGGGGTGTAGGGTTCAGGGAACACAGGTAACGGTTTAAGGCTAAGGTGTTAGGAGTTAGGCGTTGGGGTTTAGGGTTTAGGATCCTTGCAACAGGAGTTGGGGCTTGGAGACTACAACTGAGCGTTTGGCTTCCTGACAGTCTACACCAGGGCTACTATTATGGGCCCTATACACCCTATACCATGACAACAAACCTCTAGGTAGATGATCGAAACAACATGTTACAAACAGGCTTGACAAATATACTTCGGCAAATCGATGCTGGCTGGGGAGAAAACGCAAGCCCAATCATCCAGAAACATGCGACAAGAAAATGCACATTGTCCCAGGGCGTGAAGACCCACCTCGGCATAAAACAACCGACCGACCGGTTTAGAGTGTAGGGTTTAGGGTTTACATCAAAGTCTGCAACCAACCTATGTGCTCCAGCAGGGATACATAAAAGGCGCCTCGTAAACCCTCATTAAGGTCTTATGGTTGTTCTTTCCTTGCTTCATCGGACCTGCTAAAACAGGTGTCGATTTCAACTGTCACCAAAATTGCTTATAAGTAGGGCTCTACATTAAGCAATGAAGGAAATTAGCAATTACCCCAAATAGATACCTAGTACTACACAGCTCTAAGGAGCCCACCCCAAAAAGCCTCACCACACGGATCGCGGGTGGCAGCTAGTGTGGAAAGCTACAATTCAAAGAGCCCTGGATACACCCCACCGGGGGAATTTCTTGTGGAAGCATTGTTAATATCACCTCTCTATATCATTCAGCTTAGAGTAGAACCCCCAACAGAAGCTGGAGTTCCCCAGGTAAGCCCCTAAACCCTGAAGCCCAACCTGAAACCCTAAACCCTAAACCCTAAACCCTAAACCCTGGATCTCCCAAAAGCTTAGCCTGATTTTCCTGCAACGTCGTTCAACATGGGGCCCCGCACTCAAAGCAAAAACCCTAAAACAGTAGGCCTTCAACCCTAAGCTCTGAAACCCGAGGTTCCTGAGCAGCCCCTTTCGTGATTTGGTTCTGCTCGATTTGGGTACTGCTCCATAACCAAGAATCCGAAACCCTAAACCCCAAACCTCTAAACCCTGAGCCCCAAACCTCTAAACCCCAAGCCGCTAAACCGTTTGGGCGTTCGTAAACCCGTCGAAGCGGTCTCTTTGGCGCCGAGTGGCGCGTGCCATTCGGAAGGATCTCTTCGCCCAATGGACCGACCCTGCTTGGAGGTTCATGGGTGGTTATAGGGTTTAGGGTTTAGGGTTTAGGTGGCTTTATAAGTCCCCTAATATGGGTTATAAGTATAGTTATCCTACTTGTAACCGTACTTATATGCAACCATGAACCTCCAAGTGTGGTGGCAGAACGTTGAAGGGAGATCTTAAATCAGGGCTTAGGGTTTGGGGATTGGGATATTGGGAACTTTGAAGGGAGTTCTTACATAGTGGCTTAGGGCTACAAGAAACAAGTTTCTGTAGCTCAGTTTCTATTTATCACCGATACTTACCCCGTCCTCTGGCCCTTTACGTAATCGGCCCAATTTCCAAAACCCTAAGCTGCTGGCCTCACCGACGTCGTGAGGACCACAACACAACTGCGGCAGAGTCGAAGCTGTGCTGGTGCCTGGTGGACCTCTCCAGACACTCGAGCAGAAACGGTCACGAACCGGGCTGGCTTTAGGATTTAAAGGTTTAGAGGTTTATAAGGTTAATTAAGGGTTTTTGGGGCTGTTCGGGTTTCAGATTCTATAACGGGTTAAGGAGTTTAAGGTCTGTGGCTTATTGACAGGTTACAGGTTGCCGACTCAGCGAACGGTTTTCGGATGATGATGGTGTAGGAACTTCTCAGCGGTAACGGCATGATGAATCGGCCGAAGCCGGGTCCAAAACTCTGAAACTAAATATGTTTCCCCGAATGGGAATTAAGGGAAACAGTAGACAGCTTTCTGAACCCCCCCCCTCAGCACAGTTATAAGTCGATCACACCTAGAACATCAGACCCGTCACATACAAGCTGGCGAAGGCCGATGCCAATGGCGATTCATGCAGGTTTCGTTTTCAGCCTCCTACTAGGCCTTCATCGCTGGGCGCTCAGCTTAGCGAGAAGGAGCCTCAGGCGCGCAAACGGTTCCAGGATCACATTCCTTTTAATCATCTAGTGCAAACTGCTCCAGGATCACAGAGCTTCTAATCATCTAGTGGTTGAACGAGCGATCGAACATGGAGACCACCTGCATGACATTGCACCAGGACATGTCTGCTACACTCGCCAGCACTGTGTACAGTGCCCATATGTGGCAATTTCTCAGCGCGTAGGGTGCGCGGAGCAAGGCTGCCAGCAAACGCAACAAAGGTCAAGATTTGCAATCCAGACAGGTCAGGTAAAGTCCAAGCTTGCGCCGGCGGTATCTGAAGCGAAAGACCCAAAGTTGAGTGTTCTCAATCTCCTTTGAACACGAATCATCCGGCCTGCCTTGTCTACTGGGCTTCGTCCTTCTCGTCTCTGCGGCTGTGGCGAACTTGCCCTTTCCATTGGCTTTGCTTTTCCATCCTTGGTCACCTTTGCCGGAGTCTCCCTTCACCGCTCGAAATCTCGTGCCTCGAGTGCTCGGAGCCGACAGGAAACGCATTGAAATATGGGAGTTTCCGAAAAAAGGGGACCCTAATATAGTACCCTAAATGGTAGGATG